CTATGGCGTTTTTATGCCTTGCTATACTATGACATTTTTTTGAAATGTTATGCCTGACTATACTATGACGTTTTCATGCCTTACTATACTATGTCGTTTTTTAACTTTTTATGCCTTACTATACTAAGAATTTTTTATTCCTGACTATACTATGACGTTTTCATGACTTTTTATGCCTTACTATACTATGTCGTTTTTTAACTTTTTATGCCTTACTATACTAAGAATTTTTTATTCCTGACTATACTATGACGTTTTCATGACTTTTTATGCCTTACTATACTATGTCGTTTTTTTTTCATATTTTATGCCTTACTATACTATGTCGTTTTTTTGACTTTTTATGCCTTACTATACTATGATGTTTTCATGACTTTTTATGCCTTACTATACTATGATGTTTTTTTTAACTTTTTATGCCTTACTACACTATGTCGTTTTTATGCCTTACTATACTATGTTGTTTTTCTTACTTTTTATGCCTTACTATACTATGACGTTTTTATGCCTTACTATACTATGTCGTTTTTATGCCTTACTATACTATGTCGTTTTTTTCATATTTTATGCCTTACTACACTATGATGTTTTCATGACTTTTTATGCCTTACTATACTATGTCGTTTTTTTCATATTTTATGCCTTACTACACTATGATGTTTTCATGACTTTTTATGCCTTACTATACTATGTCGTTTTTTTCATATTTTATGCCTTACTACACTATGATGTTTTCATGACTTTTTATGCCTTACTATACTATGTCGTTTTTTTAACTTTTTATGCCTTACTATACTATGATATTTTTATGCCTGACTATACTATGACGTTTTCTTGACTTTTTATGCCTTACTATACTATGTCGGTTTTTTTTCATATTTATGCCTTACTATACTTTGTCATATCTTTGACTCTTTATGCCTTACTATACTATGACGTTTTTGTGCCTTACTCTACTATGTCGTTTTTATGCATTAAAACACTGTGACATTTTCAAGATTTTTTATGCCTTACTATACTATGACGTTTTTATGCTTTACTATACTTTGTCGTTTTTTTGACTTTTTATGCCTCACTATATTATGACGTTTTTGTGCCTTACTATACTATGTTGTTTTTTTGGCTTTTTAGGCCTTACTATACTATGACGTTTTCATCACTCTTTATGCCTTACTATAATATGTTGTTTTTTTCATATTTTATGCCTTACTATACTATGTAGTTTTTATGCATTAAAACACTATGACATTTACATGACTTTTTATGCCTTACTATACTATGACGTTTTTATGCCTTAAAATACTATCAATTTTTTTTGCGTTATTACCCTCTGATTTTTTACCCCTTTTTTTGGCTGAACTACATGTTCACCAGCATTAACATTTTTTGTTCAATATTCAACAAACATTTCGAGTAATAACAGTACACATAGTCATTTGTTTTCATACATCACATACTTTTTTTATTTGGTAATCTGTCTTTTACATTGTTAACCTTCTGTTCTTAACATTCTAATTTGCTTTAATTATGTTTTACCTTTTTTTTCCTTCCATGGATCCAGCAAGACCTGCCCTGGCGAAAAGGAAGCTGCACTGAAAAAGATGGTCTTTTATACGCTGCCTAGTAGCAAGTGGCGGACGCCAACTGCATGGGCCAGCAGGGCAGTCTGTCTTACAGGGATCTATTTAAGTTGAATAATTCCGAGCTTTGTTTCTCTTTGTTTTATATTTATTTTCTTGGTAAATAGTTTGATTTAAATCCTTTGCAGTGTTGAGGTTAATTTTTTAGATAGATTTAATTCATTATTCGTGTCCATGTTTTGTGTCTGTCAAGTCTAGCCTTTGTCTATACAAACCTCCCTCATGTGTCACTTTTTAGGTTTGTTTAATGAGTTTGTTAGTTGGCCTCAGTTTGCGGTAAAGGGCCCTAGTTATGAAATTATTTTCTCTAGTTTTTAGTTTTTTAATTTTGAGAACTTAATTTTTGTTAACTTACTATGACTTTACTTACTACTCACATTTGCATATGGGTATTCCTGAATGTAAATTCAGATCTTATATATCAATAAACCGCTCACAGCATTAAAAAGCCAATATCTGGAGGGGTTGTTGTGTCCCTACCAATGTTGAGACAAAACCTACACCCTTACAAACCCAGGAAATGTTCTGTGAGTTGAAGGTTTAATCCTACACCTCTGATTGTGATTTACTTCTCTACTGATCACAGAAGAATTTACTCCACAGAACTAGTGCAAAGTATAATGACAATCATCCACTAAATGAGACAGTATTCCCCTGCCTCCACAAGCTAAAGAAACAGGAATAGTCTCTTCACTTCACCGACAGAAATTAAGACATGTATAAGATGTAAGAATGTAAGATTTTCATTTATTGTGAAGTATAATTATACAGTGAGATACATCACAGTTGAGAAGCTAATGAGGCTAATGTCCTATACTGCTGGTGAAAATTCTAAAATAATAATAATATTGAATTGATCAAATCAAAAGCACAACAACCGAGACTGTAGGATATAGTTCTTTATTTATTATTTTTAATTTTAATTTAACTTATACCTGAAAGAAATTGTGGAGTGTGAACTGTTCTCTCATGGTAATGGAATTACTCAACATCCTTTGTGTACATTTCAAAAAAATCTGATAAAACCGAACATGCGACAGTACTTTCAAAGCAGGTTGAGATTTTTGTCTTGACAGCATTGACACCTAAGCAGCAATTACTCAGGACACAATGAAGCTTAGTGCATGACTACGAGTTCTGAAATGTGAAAAACCTGTTTTGTTTTGTTTTGTTTGTTTTGGTTTTGTTCTGCCACTGGGCCAGCATCCCCACTTTAAATTCTCCTGTTACAGCAAAGTCTTCACAAGTGAGATCGAGGAAAGGACAGCCAGGGTGACGGAAGGTAAAGATGAGTGACATTTTCTTTAAATACAAAATTAATTTAAATTAAAATGAGCAAATGTATAGTTATACTTAAATGTTTAGCGGCTTTATTGCATTTCAGTGATACTATATATTTATATCTGGTTTATCATTTAATCTCTGTTGTGTGATTTAAGTTTGGTCCAAGACACACTACAAGGATGAAAGGCTACATTTTTCTTGTGGTCAACTTGGCAGTTTCCTTGACACTCTCCCTAAACCTGGTAAGAGTTTATTTATTTGTTTGTGTTGTTGTGATATTAAATTATTACATTTTGCAGAGCAAAACTACCATTCCTTTTTTAAAGTGTTTAATTAGTGATTTAGTGATTTAATGTTAATGAAAATCTGGACTTTAGTTTGGACTTTAAGGCAGAATGTAAACATTTAACTAATTTTAACTCTATGGATTTCAAATTTGAGTTTTACTTGTAGACCAGTATTAGCAGTATTGTTCTCCATTAACCAGAAAAAAGGATACACTTGTGTTGTCTTTATGTCTCATGTTATATGTCTTAAAATTACATCATTACATACTGTATATTCATGTGTTCAAATGTTCATTTTTACAGAATGGACCTGATGGACCAGAGATAGTGGGTAAGCTGTATTATTTGTTATTAATCAATATATTTCATAAAATTTATTTGATTTAATTGAATCATTTTTAATTGATTATTGTCACTATAAAGCAGCATCTCATCTTTTTTGTAGAAATTGGTGAAGACAAGGACATTACAGATGTAAACAAGGGTAAAGTTAAACATCTTCGTATAATTAATGTGGTGGTTGTGGTTACATAGGCACATAGAGTCATTCATTTCTTTGTTCAAAAAAAAAACCCCACTCACATTCACTTTTTATGCTTCATCTTAGATTCATTACATGATGACATTCTTGAGGTGAGTTTAGTGTTTTTGTGGCTTAATTAATTTAAAAAGAACTTTAATAAATTAAAAAGATAGATTAGTATGTGTGGATTGTTTGTGTCACCAGAAATTTTTTTTTTTTTAATAAATCTTAGCCACCACAGAGGAGTGCTACCAATGAAGATGACAGACTGTGGACGCCCCCAGTCCCATATGTTTTGGAAAAAGACCTTGGTAAATATTAAAATTTTTCTTGCATAATAACCCAGAGTATTTGTATGTTATTGGGAGAATTGCACCATGGGATGTGCTCTCCAGGTGGCTGCAACACTAAGTTAGTGAAATATATTATATGTTTGTCCACCAGTCAGTACAGTTCATTAGCATCAATTAGCTGCAGACTTTTGCCACATAGGAGCCACATAGGAGTGCCTTATCAGTGGAAAGAGAACCAGTAGGACAAGGAAGTGAACAAAGCTACTTGGCACAAGCAAATGTTTCTGATCTTAACTCCACAGTTTCTCACCATCCACTTGTGCCAAACAGTGACTCCACTCCTCCACCTGAGTATCTAGAAGGCATTTGTAACAGCAGTGTCATGTTTGTAGCATATACGTACATAGGCAAGAGGGCCTCATCTATCAGTTGCATTCAACATTGTCATTTCTTTGGTTCTCCCTATAACACAATTCTCATGAACAATGGAAGAGATGAACGCTAAAGGAGTGATCCTGAGAGCCTTTGAGCAGTTCAGGTTGAAATCCTGCATTGACTTCAGACCAAGAGACTCTGATGAATATTACCTTTCTGTCCAAAAGTTAGGCGGGTATGTATTAATTTTTCTTTTCTTTCCCACACTTTTGATAATCAATTAATAATGTAATTTATCATGCAAAACAGTTAAACGTGAGGATTCTGTGCTTTTTTGTGTTTCTTACTTGATTTGTCATTTTCTTTTTTAGCTTATCAGTCATCTGTGAAACACTTTAAAACGGCACTTATCGGCATGAAAAGTCCTATTCAAATAGTTTGATTGATTGATTTAATAATGGTCAAAATTTCCACAGGGATCCTTTGAGCTTGTGTGATCACAATAATTTTTCCAACCATTTTCTGACATTTTATAGAATAGAATTTACATAAAAAATATAAATGACAGATTAACCAATACGTAACATAACTGTTAGTTTCAACTCTAACTTCAAATAAACATTTGTATATTCTAACTTCTTTGATAGAAAAATGACACTGCTGCTGAGGGGTTAGATGAATGACATTTTAATATGATATTAACACTTTCACTCAAACGTCAACCACCTGTGCCACTGAAGAAAACGTAGTTATTCTATCTCCAGTAAAATCAGTCTGTGCGCTCTAGCAGCACTCTTTCATCACTGAGACTAAGATCACATTCATTAACATAAAGATGTGACTTTTACTAACCAGTCCTTTTTCAATTTTAGATGTTTCTCATATATTGGACGTTTATTCACCGGTGGACAGGATCTCTCCATCGGCAAATACTGTGATGCAATTTCCACTGTTGAACATGAGTTTCTCCACGCTCTTGGCTTCTACCATGAACAGTCCAGATATGACAGAGATGATCATGTGACCATTGCACTTGAGAACGTACAAAAAGGTTCCATTAAGACTTGTATTATAATATTCCTGTCCTTCATATTCAGTTATTCTTAAATATCTTACAGGTATGAAGGTGTTTGAGGGTAACAGAAGGGGTTCCAAATGAATAGATTAATCCAAAAACATATACCTAAAAACATAAATTACTTAGTAACTGTTAAATTAAAAGTAGGATTGATGAAAATATTACAAACTATGATCAAATTATGTAAAAGCTAATTTTGTCTAATGAATAATTAGTGAATTATGCCGATGCTGCTCTCAAGATTTTTCAATACAGTGTGCTGTAATTGATTGTTTGCTTTTATATGTGTCATCCAGGTAAGGAATATAATTTCAGAAAAGTTAGCAAAGAAAGCAGCACAGCAGGGGGAGTCCCGTACGACTACTTGTCTGTGATGCACTATAGTAAAAATGCATTCAGCAATGGCAACGGGTCTACAGTTATCACCAAAGACCCAAAATTCCAGGATGTGATTGGTCAAAGACTGGAAGTGAGTCCCAGTGATATCCGAGAGCTCAACCTTCGCTACAAATGCAGTAAGTTCTTGGAGTTTAAAGAGAACATCACCCACCTTCAATGTTTTGTGATCGTTTGTTTCAATCACTAAAATCGGTATAATAACACACATATCCACAAAAAAGTAATTGTTGACATTATCATACTCATATTTTCCAAATCAGTTTCACCTACGTCTAAGAGACATATTTATCTTATCTATCTTTTTTTCTTCACACAATTGCTTCAAATGACCGTTACAAGAATTATTCATATGATGACTATCCAATCTGTCATGTCATTTAGTCAACTGAAACTAAATGTAAAATGTGCTTTTTCAGTTTATGGTGGCAAGTTAGATGTGAAGATCCATATTACAAAAGATTGTAAACAGCAGCAAAGAGCTAGCATGTCTGTATCAAATGGTAACAAAATCCACCTACCAGCACCTCTAAAGCTCACTTCAAATCTCATTTGTTGAATTATTATAATAAGTTCATAGATGTGACCACTAACTTCGTGGATGATCCACTGATTCTCTGGCAACTGGTCAGAGCCAATTAATAGCCAAGATATTTCTGTCAAGGTACTGACAATTTATAGCAAATGGTAATACAGTTAAAATTGTCAGGAAAAGCACTGCCCTTCAAGGTAAATGGTGTTCTAATCTTATCGACCACTCAAAGCACTCTACATAACATGCCACATTCATCCATTCACAAACACATTTTTACATCACATCCATACACACACTCATACACTGGTGTAACAGACATTAGGGGCAATTTGGGGGTTCAGTATTTTGCCCAAGGACACCTCGACACACGGACTGGATTGGAACATGAACTCTGAGATTTAGTTCAAACAACAATACCTAAAAATATAGCAAGGATTAGGTTGCAATGATGATGGACTGAGTCGTAGCAGCAAATGGGGTTGGCTTGAGCATTGGCATCAGCGTATCATAAACCACTATCTACATGAGCTATGCCTGAATTGTGTCTATAACACACCATTTACTTATTTATATTCTATAGACTTTTTAAAAAATATTATCCCCAAGTTAGTCAGTAGTCCTAAATCCTGTGTTCTTCATTGACGTCTACAGACTCAACCATTGCATTTAAGATGTACTGTGGCTTCTCTAAGGAGAACATGTGCCACATGACCCGGTGTTCACAGAGTAGCAGTGACTGGAAAATGGTAACACGTGTTGATGGGGGTCCTAGCTCTGATCACACCAGTCTACCCAGTGGCAATAGTGGTCAAGGTAAGATTTCACAATTTCAAAATTAAAATTTCCAAAAAAAAATAAGTTTAACTTTTCTTTTAAGTATCACAAATAGCTTTGATGAAAGTCTTGTAATGTGACTTTCCTGGACAACAACATTCTAGGCCAAGATGCAGGTTTCTTCATGCATGCTAGCACAGCATCAGGTGAGGAGGGAGACTCAGCCTGGCTGGAGACCCACAGGATGAGCCCCAGTAGAGACTGTCATGTCCAGTGTCTCCAGTTCTACTATTACCACAGTGGGAACGAGTCCGACAAACTTAACATCTGGATCAGGGAGTTTGAAGATGAAAATGACTTGAAAGGAACCCGCCGTCTCATGGGACAAATCACTGGTAATGTCAGACTGTATGATTATCTTGTATCATCTGCTCTAAATGGTATTTAAGACTCTTGATGAACTATGAATGTGTGACATTTTCTTCCTTCAGGTTCACCAACAGCTCACTGGCAGCTCCAGCATGTTTCCCTGAATGCCATCAAGCACTTCCAGGTGGAGTTTGAAGCTCGTAAAGGAGCAGGAAGCTCTTCAGGCGGCTTCTCAATCGATGACATAAATCTGTCCGAGATCGAGTGTCCACATGTAACTTTGCAGATTAATGACTTTGAGAGGGTTTTGAACACTAGCAAATTTGGACATGCTATATACAGCCCACGGCAGTACTCCAGCAGGGGGTATGCTTACCGGGTAGCATTAGTTCTGTACCGGACATATATCGGACTGTTTGTGCAACTCTTGTCTGGTAAATATGATGACAAGCTGGAGTGGCCTTGCCCACAAAGGCAGGTGACTTTCCAAATGCTGGATCAGACACCCAACATCCAGCTGCACATGTCGAAGCAAAAGAGTATCACCACTGACCCAAACCTAGTCAGCTCTGATGGTAAGGTTGAAAGAACATGAGGAAATTCTTTGTATTCTGTTATGTTCCTTTAATGCTCTATATGTTCTCTGTGAACAGGTACCTATCTTTGGGACAATCCTCGTGAGATTGGAAAAACAGTCTTAGTTGAGAATAATGAGAAGGTCTTTGCCGGACCTTTGATTGGCAGATCCTATTTTACACATCTGAGAGAAATGAAGTCCAGAGACTTCCTCAAGGGAGGGAGCGCCATTTTTGTCTTCAGCTTCCAAGGCAAGCTGATAAAAATGTTTTCGATGCTTTGCTCACTGTGGTTAAAAACTGCTCTGCTTGTAATTTTACAACAAACATGTTTGAAACTTAAATCACTGCACAACTGAGTGGAAGCTGTGTTGTATAATGTTACTTTCTCCTTTTGCTAGATCTCACTCCCCTAGTTAATGGAAGCGCTCTGCCATGTCCTAAAGTGGCACCAGCGATGATTGTACATCCCCCTAAAGATCTGGATAATGGCCCATGCTCATCACGGTGGGTCAGCTATGAAACAACTTCTCATTTTAAAACAAAGGGTAAAGACAGATGTAGAATTTAGCACTGAAATGAGATTTTAATGATGCAATGCTTTTTACAGGATCTTAACCACCACCCTTCCACCTCCTCAAACAACAGACGACAACAGGTATTTACTCACGTTTTACACTTGTTGAAATTTGCAAGCTATTAAAACAGTGAGCTTGTAAAGTATTATTTGACGCTGTTGAGGCTAATCAACTAGTTACATAAATGGGTTTGTAGTTAGTATTAAAAAATTAAATAAAATAAGGCACAGTTATGTAACATATGCAGTAGCTACTAGCAGCTTTCTGGCTACACATACTAATTTTCCCAACAGTCTTTATAGCTTGGTGTGAACACCATGAGGTACTGGTCAGAAATCCACTGTATATTATTTTATTTAATACTTTCCTTTCTTTCTGTTGTAGCATTTTTGGCTTCTCTCCTGCTATGGTGGCCTCTCCTGTCCTCACCCTCCTCCTAGCACTGATGCTTTTGATACCATGATGTACGTCTCCTCTCATCCACATCTCACCTCGGCACATGGACAAGAGCAGCAAATCAGCCACTGGCTGAGTGATTCAGCTGAATAATTCAGACAGTGGTTAATTTTCCCTTTAAATATCTTTGTTGTTGTTTTCCAGGTTATGTAAGCTAATGAAACGAGAAAGCTGCAGTGAGTACTGAACAGTTGGATATATAGGTTTACTGTGTGTATGAAATTCAGAGAAGAAGAAATGCCTGCATTACAGTCATTTGCTTTTGGTGGTGGGATCATACTTTTGTTATATTGTCATTTATGGATTATTCTTGGAAATATGTTCACTACTTTTAGGGATTTCATGCACTATTGTATTTATTGGAAGCCAATAAAAACTCAAGCAAATGATTTTTGTGTCTACAGTCGCTAAACAAATACTGAAATGATTATAAGTATATTTAATACATATTTTTCATTTCAGAACCTATTATCATGGATATGTATTAAACATATTAATTGTCTTGTTAAACAATTTTTATACAGCTAACAGCAGAGTTAAATAAATTTAGAGGCTGTTACCACATATGATTCTGGGTATGAACAATCTTAAAAACTTATTGTTGCTCCAATGGCAGACTTGCGGTAAAGTAATGGGTTTGTCCCTCAATAGCCAGAAAAACTTAAATCATGCCAATGAAATACCCCTCCACCTGGGACCACATTTGGATTAGAACTGTTGGAGTCTATAATGCTCACAACCAGAAGAACCTCACATCACATCAATTGCACTGAATCATCCAATAATATTTCTCTTTTCATCTCTTTAACACACTTCCCACTGTAGACCTGCAAACTAAAGAAGAGGTCCTGCGAGCCTTTGATCAGTTAAGATTGAAGTCATGCATTGACTTCAAACCCAGGGAATCTGAGGCTTATTACATTTCTGACCAAACATTAGACAGGTACTGTCCAACCAACAGCATGACAGTGTTTTTCCACCATATACGACTATCCTGGTAGTTTTTTTTAAATAAATTTGTGAATTAAAATTCCTGCCTGGTTTTGCCAAATTAGTTGTTGCAAAAACTATTGTGCTTACAGCTTTATATATTCCATTTTTTACATAATGTTTTTTTTTAAAAATTTCGCCCCCACTGTTCTTGAACGTAGCACTTGCCGGTTCACTAGCTCATCCTTAACTATCAGTCAGGAACAGGAATATTGGAAAGATGTCAGTGATATTAATTTACATGGCACAGTCCTGGCTGGATTATCCTCCTAGGGGGGTCCTGGGCCCTGTACTAGTTTCATTACTTCCTCAGGCACTCACTTAGTTCTCTAGACCTGTTTGGTGGATTTGCAAAAGTTTAATAGAAACAATCTTAATAATTAATCATTTAAGTCTTTTTTGCTTCAAGAAAAAAAAACAAAGCTTTTTGAATGTTAACATGGGCTTCATGGAAGAATGACGGGCATTCTAGACAATCTTTTGACATTTTATACAATTACCAATCATTTGGTTATTAAACATAATAACTGTCAGATGTTCTGATAATGAAAATATTGGGGCTTAAGACCTAATTGAAATGCTTCCCTCCTTAACGCCGGTATTACAAGATGGAAGACACATCAGAGTGGCTATTGTAATTCTGTGGTACAAATTTGCAATTAATCAAATTATATACATTGAAATGGAGTAGAATAAACCTGGGACCTTTTTAAACATGACTTACTCCAAGTAAGGTTGAATTTCATAGAAGTAATACAAACCCTGCAAAAATAAAAGATGGCACAGGATCCCTCTTCCTCACTGAAACACAGATGTAAGACTGTGAAGAGAGGTGCTGATTAAACCAGCATTAGGATTTTTTTGGCCACTTGGGGGCAGCAAAAATAAGCTGTAAACACAAGTGATATTATCACCTTTAACTTACCTTTTAAGATAATGGTGAACTTCTAAGGAATTGTTGCTTGTTTATAAATTCAGACGACACCGATTAATATTGATTTAGAGTCATGTTTGCATCTGCCTGATGAATAAAAATCAATTATTCATTACGTTAAGCTTTCACTAACTCAAGAAAAAAAGAAATCGCTCTAGCTGCTAAATGCTCCATCTTCTCCTGCTAGTTGCTAGCTGTCTGGTTTTTGGTGTTGGGCAGGTAGCACTCACTGGGTTTGTCTGAGCTGGATGTTTGGATTTTTGAATTCATCACTTTGTGTCCCAGTTCACAGAGTCATTTACCCCATTACTAGTAAGAATATTGGTTGGTTATAGTGGTTTTAAACTGGTATTGAGGTCACAGCTTGCTGTACTTGCTAGACTGCATTATGTATGTATTCAAAAGATTAAGAGATAAATCAGTAAATCTGATAATCTAAACTGTTGTATAGGTTACATTGAACTACATTATATTTCACAGATAATTAAGTTGTGTGCACTTTGTACTCAGTTCCTCAAAGTAAACACAACATCTACTTTTACAAAAAGTAATCACATTTATTTCAATCCGTCATACATGATAACCATATATTATGTCTAACCACTTACTTTGATTTTCACATCACATGTTCTCATGCATCACCTGATGCCCTCTGATGTACATCTCTCTAGCCTCTGGGTATATCCAATACACCATAAAGGAAAGACATTTGTGCTACAGTATGTAGGCATGGCTTGGCCAGTCCTGGCTCCTTGGTAGTTGTCTTTATCTCTCTGTCTGCCCCAGAAATCACAGTTGTAAGAGAGTCTCTGAATCCAATTTCTAAAACTTAGTCCAGGTTCCTGTGTGTCTCTGTGCCGGTCCAAGCTGTGGCCTGCGAGCTGGCTCCAGGCAGACCCTGCACCAGAGACCTAGCCAATGGTGACACCGAAGCCACACTGGAACTTGTTCTTGCGATGGTTGAGGAAAGCCCCGAGGGCCAGTGTGAGAGGCAGCGGCAACAGTTTCTTTTCAAGGGTTGCCCCTACCACCCAATTACTGTCAACTGTACCTGAGGAGAGGAAAGGAGTAAAAGTGTAACAAGTCTTGTTAAGAGGAAACCCTATATTTTCTAATGTTCAAATAGTCACTTATGTCGCTATGAGTGTATTCATATTGTATTTACCTTTAAACAGCAGGTTGGCCTTGGGAAGGTCCAACTGGTAACCAAAGGATGTTGTAGTGTCTTGCATCCTTGTGCTTGCTTCAAATTCAACTCCTATCTGCAACTTTATTAGTAGACAGAAGTTAAAGGACAGGTCCACTTTTCGCCCCAAGTCTATCTTAACACAACACTCCTATGCACACTGAAATAACTTCCAGTCGACATAATTTTTTTCTTCTGTCCTCATCCAAACGACATTCCAGTTAAAGCAAAGGGGTAAGAATGTACAGGCCTAGTTCACTGCAAAAATGTCTTATAGCCAGTGTAAGGCAATATGAGGCCTCATCAGTCTGAGTTAGACATTAAGTGGGTTATCTTCCAAATACAAAATTCCTCTTTCTCTGGACTACAACTGTGCAATGAAGGGGTTAGTAACACCATTGGAATTTTGTAGTACGAAGAGTCTAACTTGATTTGCCTAATTCAGCCACATTATTACCTTCAGCTGAACTTCAGAGTTCTTTTTTGCACACAATAAGGACTCTGGGTTTTGTCCCTCCATGTCTTACATTGGAATCACTTGAGGAAAGGACTCCTCGAAAGCCAGAACAATTAAAGGCACCAAAAACTACTCCAGTGTATATATGAGCATGTAAGTATTGTTTTATATAAAACTTTTAAAAACATAAAAACACATGCTTTTAATATGCAAACTCCAGAATTTGAACCAAAAGGCTGCATATGAGGTGTTTCAGACAAACCATGACCATACACAGACATACAACCCTGCACACTTGTCCTAATGTTAGATACCTGGTCGTTGGCTTTGTGATAGTATGTAGCATGAGCTCCTGCACCTCCCAAAGTCAATGTAGCAACATAGTTGTCACCTGAGAAGAACAAAAAAAGATGTGAACATCTATTACACACATAACAAAACAATGAGATGGAATTAGGTAACACTCATAGAAGTTCCGATAAACACTTCAGACAACTTAGACAATTAATATTTTGGAAATTGGTCATTTTAAAAATGTAAAAGAATAAAAAAGCAAGATGGTAGACCATAGATTTAAGCATCACGTAGTCAGATACAGTGCATGGTTCAATAAGCCGAGGGTAGATTTTACCTGTGTATCTGCCCAAAAGGGAGGTGACGGTTCCTTCCTCCCCAGGTCTCTTGTGGTACACTAGCTCACCACCCAGAGCCAGCGCTGGTGTGATGGACTGGAGGTAGTGGGCCACCAAAATGCCTGAAAGAAAGTAGTAAAAGTGCTTCCATTATTTTTACATAATATATTCCCCCCTTATTCATATTTATAGAATGGAGTACGGTCTTCCCCTCTCAGGCTTTCTAGCGCTTTTTCTAATTCCTCCTCCTAATTCCTTTTAATTAACCTCTAATCAACAAATTGTTACAGCTTTAGCTGCATTAAACATCAGTTTTAGGATTCTATCTGGCATATATTTCCCATATTACACATTGATACATAAATATATTGATAGCAGATTAAAAAAAAAAACTTATAGATATTGTGATAGTGGTTTCATGGATATCACCCAGCCATCAGTGGTTGTATTCTGCCATCGTTCTCCCTTCAACAAAACCTCCACTGCAGTTTTGTGAAAATAATCATACCAGATCCAACAAGTACGTCTGGATTTCCGAGTGTCACAGCAGAGGTGAAGTCTTCACCACGATACTCCATGTCACACTGCCAATTCACAAACTTATGCTGCTGAGTCTACAACACACAAAAATAGAAAAAAGTTCAGAATCACAATGTAAGTGAAACTTAACATACCGAGAAAAAAACTCATGAAAAACATCTGAAAGTCTTCATACCTGGATTGCTATTTTGGAACGCACAGCAGATGTGAGCTGGTGAATGATCTGGGCATTCAGACTCCCAGTATTGTCCATATCTCCGACCATGACTGGGAATGACTAGAGGGAAGAAGAGACATCATTGTCAGCTTTTAAGTTATGTGGATGACATTTGAAACCTTGCAACTCTATAGAGGCGTAGGCTATATAGCTTCCCAAATATCATTGTAAATGTTGTTGCTGCTGTGCATGTGGGCAAAGGAGAAAAAAAGTCAAGTGAAGTATTTTTTTTCAGTTTTGAACCTTGGTGAACACAAATCAGGTCATTAAAGTAATCATCTAGGCGAACTAACTAACCAATTAAAGGCTTAATATAACCTTAACAGTTGTCCCTCTTTTTCGTTATATAAATATATTTTCATAATTGTCCACTAGCAAAAACACTTGCCTCCTTTCCTGTTTGATACAAATTTCCAAAGGTAGTACAATATAAAAAAGCTATTTTACCTAAAATGCATTATGAGGCTTGAAACAATGCAGTTTTATATCATTAATGAATACAGCCTTCATATATCCGTTAAACCTTGAGACTGCTTGGCTAATAAATGTCAACATTTATCAAGGGGTTTGTTGAGGTGATGGGAAAATTATCATTACCTCTGCTGGTCCAGTCTGTTTACTGCCTACGTAGGTGGAACCAAATCGATAACCAGAATCACCCTGGGTACTGAGGGTAACAGTATGGCTGACTTGGAAGTGGTTACTCAGGCCCTTGTTGACCACTAACCGCACCCCTTCCATCTGCAGAGGGAACACCTCTAAAACAGAAAAAGGCCAAAAAGGGGAAAAGAGATACATGTAACTCAACATCAGACAATCATTTAAGCACATGACAATGTAACAGTGATAATGTTGTTATAATGCCATGATTTTTTTTTCCAAAGTTAAACAAATGTGAAGAAAAAGACTACATCAGTCATAAATACTAAATACACTTCTCACACAATTCAACAGCTGATTTTCTAACCTTTACATTTGCGGTGGCACTCCTCATAAGTGCCTGGGTTTGGGAGTGGGGAATCTGCATCTGACGTCTGCTGGCCAGATCCAGATGATGGAGGGACGGAAGACACTGAGGGCATACTAAACCCTGGAGGGACCGACACCAACCCTGGAACCCCTTGACCACCTCCAGCTCCAGCTGGAGCTGGACTGGGGGAGGCGGCAGCCAACACACTGCCCATACTCTGATGCTATAACAGACTAGTAAAGAGATAGACAGTGGATGAATAATTTATTAAGTCATTGAATTTATCAGTGTAATTTCATCTCACAGCTTTGAGCTACTGACTGTTGAGGTAATCCCTGAGACGGTGTGAGTGAAATTGAAAAAGTTAACAAACATGGCTGGATATGACATTTCCCCGCAGTATATCCAATGCACCTGGACACAGTTAGCTCCAAAAACATTACAGCTAGTATTAACTTGGTTAGCTAAAGTGAGTGATCTGTTCTCCTGTCCTGGCAGTAACAGTACAGCAGACTGGTTGCAGCTAAGGCCCAGTTTAGTCAGACTGTCGCCATATATAATAATGTTATACTACAACACTGCCGGATAACCACTAGAAAAATCGAACTGCAACTTCTGGTTTGCAACAGAGACTACATTTGGAGATAAGCCAGCAGCCGACAAAACTATCCGCTAGCAGTATTTAACCTATGAAGGCTAATGCAAGCTAGCACGGTTGGTTGGCTAGCTAGCATGCTAGGTAGCCATGTGGAGTCGACCACGAGATCTGTTCGTCTGCATACGGAAAACACATTAGTTAGAAATACAATAGGTGGCGAATTGACACTAACAACTATCGTCTTCTTACAAAGCACTCCTGCAATTTTACGGTTTAGCTACTCACGCTAACGGTTCGGGGTCCAGGGGGTAGTTCAACACCGGCAAAGTTCACGGCAACGTCCGTAACCGTAGTTGACAAGTGCCCGCCCATTTCATGTGACTAGTGCATTGATTGGCTAATGTACATATCTTTTCAACCGCTATTGGCTGAAACTGCAGCTAAGACAGCCCGCTCCTGGTGACGTACTGTGGGGTTCATTCGCTTATCATTCGTTTCATTCAATCTCCTACTGAATGACATTCCAAGGGTACACCTGTTCTTGGAGCCGTTAGCCGCGTATGAATACATAAAAAAATTAATGATATACATATTACGACATCTTTTGTAGACAGTAAAGCATGCATGTGCTTCCTGTGGATTTTTTCAAGATGAAAGTCATGCTTCCCAATGACAAAGGATATACTAACTGTATGACATATGGTACAGATTATAAAATGTAATATTGCAGTTCATGGAAAAAAGAATAGCACTTCACTTAAGTGCTGTGCAAAGTTTTTCATTTTTTCGTTTTTCTTTTTATGAAATATTACATTACAAATTATAAATATTACACTTATTCTTATCCATTATATCCTGATTGAACCAAAATTCATTTTTTAGCATGTCAACGACCCAAAACAATCCAGCCAGTTATTAAGAACCATCCTCAGTAACAAGAACAGAGTCCTGCAACAGATGGTATGACCCCCCACTGAGCCCTGATCTCAACATAGAGTCAGTATGGGATTACATGAAGAAACACTGACACAGTCTAATTCCACAGAAGAACTAAGGCAAGTTCTCCCAAGATGCTTGGAACTATGTACGTGCCAAGGACCCTGAAAAACTGTGCACAAGTGAACATACAAGAACTGGTGCCGTTTTCAAGGCAAAGGGTGATCACATCCAATAATGATTTGATTGAATGAATTGAATTTTTTTCTTTGCATACTGAATTTTGTATTAAATTCATTAATAAACACTAAAAGCATCCTCAGCATGCCTTAAACTTTTGTACAGTATCATGAGACTAATTGCGTCATTTAAAAAAAATAAATAACATAAAGAAGCAAATCAACAACAAAACAAAGTGTCAGTCAGTCAGACTTTTATTCATTCGGGGCGCTGGCATTGACACACTTCAGGAAAGTCTTGGCTGTCTTTCTTTCTATTTAACAACACATCTGGTCATCCAGTCATGAAGGTATTTATTTTTTCCAAAATGCAGTGATGGGACAAAATGGTCTCAGGTTTCAAACCCACATAAAAAATGGTCTGAGTCTTCTATCACATGACATGTATTGATTCAAGTGTCTGTACAATGGCTTACTACCTGGGGAATCTAAATCTATCATCAACAGCACTACAGTGTCAGACATGAAGAAAGTTACGACTAACGATGCTTTGGAATAGGACACACATGTCTCCCTTCCCTGCTGGTGCTTAGTTGTACTGTAATGTCCAACCAAAGATGCAACAAAAGTCTGCTGGAAATTTCACAGTGTCAATGTTATAAATTTGAGCTACATTTACTTTTCATGACATCGTGTTGAAGTCAAAGTCCAAGTTCATAAAGAGCAACAAGCAGCTCTAGTTGGTCATATTTAAGTATTTGTAACAAATGAAGTAAAAGTAAAAATCCTTTCAGAGTGCAAGTGTGCTTTCAAAATTGATAAACTAATAAAAGAACTGTTTGGCTGCCATTTTCCTACATTACAAAGTTGGGACAAGGGGCTGGGCAAAGTAGAGGTTTGACAGTGGACTAAGGCACTTTGCAAAGAAGAATGGAAGCAGAAACTACATCAAGATAAGTGAACATGTTGGCCGGTTTCAAAATAGTTTTAACTAAGGCCCCTCATCTTGTCATGTTTATTACTGATAATCTCAAGACCTGAGAAAATGCTGCCTAGTGCTATGGCTTTAAAGGGATTCAAGAGATTTTCACAATTCAATACCGACTTATTGTTACTGTCGGGTCTGTGCTTTTACAAAATGCACTACAGTGTCACTAACATTACACCGTTATCTTTGAACAAAAACCTTATTTCTGCAAGTTAACACTTGAATTTAAAATGTACCAAGTTCTGTTTCAGGTGCTCTGTACTGGAGAACCACAACAGCCCTCTTTTAAACATCCTTCATAGAAAAGTGGTCATTTTGGTTTCTGAAGCCATTTATATTCAAGTGTATGCAATTTTTTCTCTACTCTTCCATCTTTGGTTCCCTTTTGAAGAATGTTATCCCAAATAATTTGGCCGCTGCTTCCCCAAACCTCAGAAATAAAAGTTGGAGGGGAAAAGATTTTTATAAGCAACAGGATTAAGGGCAACAGGAAAGCTACAAAAAAACTACACTCAGTAACCACATTATTGGGCACAACTGCTTTCCTAATGCAGATATCTTATCAGTCAATCACGTGGCAGCAACTCAATGCATAAAAGCATGGTCAAACGGTTGACTAAAAATCACAATGGAAAACAAATGTGATCCAAGGGACTTTGACTATGGAATGATTGTTTGTTGATTGCTGTTCTCCTGGGATTTATCAACAGTCTACCCATATTCTAATGGCTATTTTCAGCAGGATAACATCCTGCTGATGAGTTTCCTCCAATGGCCTCCACAGTCCAAGAAGCCATTTATCAGTGTAACAGAGCACCTGTGAGAGGAGGTTAAACGCAAAATCTGCAGCAACTGCGTGATGCTATCATGTCCACATGAAGTAGCCTCTTTACTGGGCTGGTCCCATAAACAGTGTATCTGAAAGTGGTGACTGAGTGTAGATAATTATTTCTTTTTTATGTGCAGTAGGGATGTAACCTGGGCTCCTTTGGTTTCACATTTTCATTCTTAAAGCAAAGCACAAAAAGAGTTTATGACAACTTCCATCTATTGTCAAGAGTGACTGTACAGTCAAGTGTACAGCACCACCTCTGGCAGTGTCAGAAAGTTAGACTGATTAAAGTGGCAGTTTCCACTGAGGAAGATGCCAGTTTAATAGCATATTTACAGACAGAACATGAGTTTGCTATAAACTCAAACTGGAAATGAAATCTAAAATAGACCATACTGATTACAGTGGGGAATAGAAATCTTCACTTGGACTCTTGTGTGATGCGTAGACAGTATTGTGTGATGAATGCCAGGCGCCATGTTTCTCCTGAAAAACAAATCACAAAAGCCTGGTTAGAATTTCTGATGTGAACGAGTCACTGCTTTAGCAAACCAGAGCTGACAGCTGGCTGTGCGTGCTGATCAGCTCTGTCCAAATCTATGTTGACTGCCATTGTGCAGCCTGAGGACGACAACCCTAAAGCCTTCACCTTTAAATCCTGTAAAACTTCAGTTAATCTTCTTGATGAAAGAGGATACTATCAGTTAGCAAGGGTGCTAGTATTTGCTCTCTCAAGCTAGACTGCTCAAATGCTTCCAGTGTTATGAATACACTGTGTACAAATTTAATTAAATGCTCTCACTCATACACACATAAACTCACTGAACCAGAATGTGGAAATGAATAGTTTCTTCAAGCTTCACACCTTCTTACCACCAGCTACATAAAGGGCTAAGCCTCAACTCTTAACTTTTTTGTGTCAGATGGATAACTGAAAAAAGCAGCTGTAATGTGACCTGTGTTGACAAGGTGTAAAAAAAAAAAAAGAGTAGAAAAACAGTGACCATCATGAAAACTGCTTTCACTTGGGTTTATCGAAACTGACCATTCATTCAGGCTGTTCCCAGTTCCTTGTTTTTGGCTTCCCCAATGTCATCGTCGTCATCTGGGTCAACAGAGTGAAACTCTGCCACATACAGGCTCTTATCGATGCTGCTGGGGATGGGCTTAATGTCAGTAATTAACTGATCCTCAATAGTTTTCAAGTTGTAGCGGTCATCTGAAGTTATCAGATTGATGGCCAGACCCAGGTGACCAAAACGCCCTGAGAGAGAAGAGACAGAGCATATACATTACATACTGTTAGTTGAAGTGTCACAAAATGAACCTGGGTGCACCAGATTTTCAAAGCGGTAGCTGTAAACAAAATTCTTCGTTCAGAATGCGAGAATTTATAAATAGATTCATCTTCACCTGATCTGCCAATGCGGTGCAGGTAGGTCTCTGCGCTTTTGGGGAAGTCAAAATTGATGACCACATTCACTGCCTGGATGTCAATTCCCCGAGTGAAAAGGTCTACAAGAAAAGATGTGTATTAGTCATCCTACTGACCATAAGTAATTTAAATTTTCACTTTCTGTTGGAAAACGCAGAACTCCCTTCACCTACCTGTGCACACCAGGTTTCTGCACAATCCATTCCTGAAGTCATGGAACACACGGTTCCTGTACTCCTGCATCATCTTTGCATGAATGTAGAAGCACGAATAGCCCAGTTGGGTGATTTTCTTAGCCAGAAGCTCAACCCTTTGGGTGGAGTTACAGAAGATGATAGACTGATTGATCTGAAGCTGTAATAGATATAAAAAGGTATTATTATTCATTACAGAAGGAACAAACCCCTGAATTCTTTACATTTTCTGCCTCAGGTATCCTGTGGCCTTACCTATGGCAAGTTCACAGTAACATTTTCATTTAAAAAAAAAAAAAAAATACACTCTCTGTCCAGGTATGCATTTTACCTCTGTATCAGAAATAATACCAACACATCTGAAAACGCATATCACATGACAATTCACATACACTGGGCATGTGGGTGCCGGTGTAAACAGAAAGCAGATTGATTACTCTGCAGCTGGTTAGTTGCAAAAAAAACTACGAATGAGGAGCAGCAAAGGCAGTTATAGCGTCAAAATGCAGAATTTAACTGCACAACAGCTGCTAGCACAGACAACAAGGTCAGCAATGCTTTTTAATTTGTTATCCATGTTGCATTCACTACTGGCAGCTGTGATTGGTAAGACCCAATCAGGGAACAACTAGGATTCAGCAATATTGATTAAATCCCAATACATATTATTTTATATTGAGGTATCAATAAATAAATAATAGTTTTATGATAGTACATTTTCTGTAAAATCAACTGAGGAATAAAAATAAGTCTTTAAACTTTCAGTGGGCAGTGAAACAGCTTTTCAGTTTGGTATTGAGTTACTCTCTAAAACAATGCAGCTTTTTGAAGCTCTTAGTATCCAACTGGTAAACATTGAGCACTCACCCTAGAAAAGAGCGTGTTGAGACAGTGGACCTTCTGTCTTTCAGTCACATAGGCATAGTACTGGGTGATGCCCTTCAAGGTCAGTTCCTCCATCAGGTTGATCTCATAAGGCTTCTTCAGATGTTTGCTCTGGATGAGACATTCACAATATATTTTAAAGTGTGAACAAGATTTTTAATTTTTACCTCTTCAGAGAAGTGAATAGCTGTTTAAGTTCTCACCATGAATTTTTGCACACTGATGGGGAAAGTGGCAGAGTACAACAGGATCTGACGACCCTTTGGCAAAAAGCTGATAATATCTTCAATCAGGACCACAAAGTCCTGGGACAGCAGCTTATCTGCCTGAATAAAGGGATATTTAAAGAAAAGGTGTCAAGAGTGGTAGACTGCAGACCAACTTTATAAACACAGCCAACAATATTGACAAGTGAATTCAGAAATAAAGAGTTAACCCACCTCATCCATCACCATCATTTGGGTCTTATCCACTTTTGCCACACCCTTCTTAATCAGGTCTAGTATCCTGCCTGGTGTAGCAATCACTACATGCACTATTATGATCGGAGGACGAACAAAGAGCATGTCACAACCAGTTCAACAAATTTTATCTTTGGTACAAAATCAGCCAGAAACACATTTAAAAGACTAAAACATAAGCTTATAAATGATTACTGTATAAACTGAAACCTCCAACAACAAAAAGCATGAGCACGAGTAGGTATTGACTGGATGTGTACAAAAGTCAGAACTCCAGAATGACAAGGTAAAATATAAAAATCAAGAATTACTTTTCCATAGTTTTTCCATACAGAAACATTTTTTTAATTATTTTAAATATTAATGGCTTGACATCTACCTATCTCATCAAGACGCATGATGTCATCCCTCAAATTGGTGCCGCCCGTGGTAGCCATGACCTTGACACCTCCAAGGTGCTTGCTGAGCTGAATGCTGATTTGGCTCATCTGCAGGGCCAACTCTCTTGTCGGCACCATAACTAAAGCTGGATTGAGATAGACATGGGAAGGGCTGATGAAATGCAAGGGTACATGAGATATATGGAGAAATTTAAGTAGATTGATGCTCACAAAAAAAATTATTTTATATATTCAGACCAAAGAAACCTGTGCACCAACAGTGGAAAGGAACGCATGTGGTAGAATAGTGCAGTGATCATGGACTCCATGTGCTCCAGAGATCGTGATGCAAAATATATCGGTGTAAAATGTGGTGTAGCCTCATTAAGTCAGAGATGATTCTGTTACTTCATAATGAGATTACAAGTGTGGAGACAACTATCTGACTTAATTTGTGGAGAAAATCTGCAGGAGAAAAACCTGTGCTCCTATGCTTTCCATACAACATATTAGAAATGTATAATTTTTACTACAATTTTACAAAAACACAAACTTCAAAGACGAGCCCTTCATAGTTTTATATCCATCACACCTGTTTCAAAATTAGCACCATCAGGCAGAGGCAGCAGGAACTCACCCTGGATGTGATCCTTCTTCAGGTCTATTCTCTCCAGCAGAGGGATGAGGTAGGCTCCACTTTTTCCTGTACCATTCTTGGCTCGAGCCAAAATATCTCTGCCCGACAGGGCAATGGGGATACTTTCCTCCTTTTGGCACAGAGACAAGTCCAATCAATACAATCAGCAGGGTTCTTTGGACATGACAAGACTTATATGGAAAAAGACAAACAATTATTGAGTACAACATCCAAAAACAAGGGCTGCAATCGTCCCACCAAAATATTACAATGTGTAATACAGGGAAGAGCATATATTACAGCTTTAAAATATTTCTGGATGTGCCAGTTTATCTGGATTACAACTAAAACTTCAGATGTTCATAAATCAGGATACATTTGAATCAATTGAGGCTGGAAAGTTAAATGGATAATTTTGATACATACAAAGCACTGTTCTTGGTTTTAGTGAGTGCAGTATTCAAATCAAGCTAAATAGCTTTATTTACCTGGATAGGGGAAGGTTTCTCCCATCCCATCTCAAAGATTCCCATTAGAAGTTCTCGCTTTAAGCAGTAGTCTTCAAATTCATTTCCCTTGGTTGATGTCACATCCTTGGAGAAACAGAGCAGTTTGATAGGATGCAAAGGTTGATATGGCAGCATTACAAGCCAACATACACTCAGTGAATCTAAAACATTTGGAATTCAACAAAAAATGTTGGAAGTGTCTCAGAGTTAGGAACAGTTAATGTGAATAATTATGTCTGCTATTACTCATAATTAACTTACCGAAGTTCTCAACCTGGTGTCTTTTGGGGGAAGTTCCAGGCACTTCTTCCAGTCATCCCCAAACCTAATTGTAAGAATGTGCACTGTCAAGTCTAAATAAATAACAAAACATCACAGACTGAAAAAAGAAGGGCTCTGATATATACTGAACCCCCAAAACCCAGAGTTTTTTTCTTAGTCCAAACCATTTTTCCATGCATATTACACACAGATAGACTGGGAAGCTGATGGGGATTTTTTTTTTCCCATTTACTTCACAAGTAATGGATCTTCCATAAGTACCAGCTGTGTCCAATAATACTCACAACAGTAAATAAATAAGATTGCCAAACCTAAAATATATGATTTTGCAATTTGCTATTTTTGCTATTTATGCAGCAGTATTTTGGCAAAAAGATATGATGGGACATCCTGAGCATACACAAGGAGTCCTGAGGCTTTGAACCACAATATGAGCTACAGACACTTTCTGAGATTCTCATCTTCTTTTACTGCTGTTAAAATAGGTTTGTTTTCTGGGAAGGAACTGCATTTATATAAACATCTAGTAGGTTCTTGTATCCACTGTAGGCAGAAAGGCTACAGAAGTGATTTGAACATTTCTTTCAATGCGGAAGTTAGAGAGAATGTAGAGCCAGTATCTTACTTGATGCCCCCACTGTTCTGAGGAATGCTGCTCCTATTCTGGGAGACACTGGACAGTTGGGCAGTTGCGAGGAGTCCTGACTGACCAGCTGGTTTGGTCTGTCCTCTGAGCTGCCCATTTGCTGCTTTGTTCAGTCCAATCATTGGTGCTGGGTTTGCTGTTCTTGCTGTAGCCATGGGTTCTGGCAATTTCCTTACAGTGTGTAAAATTTATTTGCCTCTATTTAACTTCTGTTTTGCTTAATGCACCCGTGTGTAAAAAAAAAAAAGAAGTAAAAGCTGAAAAAATAAAAAACTTTTTCTGCTATCTTTTCTTTTTAAAGAATGTATTGTGTACACAATCTGACATTCAGACCTCTTGAAAAGAAGAAGTCTGCGTATGAATTCTGTCTATTTACAAGACAACTCTCCAAAAAAGGGAGAAATTAACATTCATATGAATAAATAAATCAAATATGTGACCAAAACATAAACTCTTATTTTTCTTTCAAAATGTGTGTCTCATACTCTTATCTTTGCTGTAATAAGAATCCTGAATTTTCTTTGTGTATTCTTCTAATATCTTGGCTTGAAGGTCCGAGTGCTGTGTTTATACATTCAAAATGGCCAGTAGGAAAATAAGACCTCCTTGGTCACGTCTCAGACTAGTACAATTTGCTCTTTGACATCAAGAAGTCTTCAAAAGTGTTTGCTGGAGCTTAATACTGGCTCAAAAGTCACTCCAGGAATCTTGTCTTTAATTTTGATAGTCCACTTTAAATGTCTGTGGTTATCTTGTTCCCGTTTCCTTTACTTCTGCTGCAAAAGTTGAGATGGCAGTCTGCAAAGTGTTTTGGGAATTGCCGATCAACAAAAAAATCCAGGTTACCTGTCAGGCAATAAACAATCATAGGTGGTTAATTCTTAGCATTAACGAGCGAGCCACAAAATAATACTTAATAATAATAATAATAATAATAATAATAATAATACTTCGCTTGACAGTGAGCAATCTAAACTAAAGTTATACAACAGCACTGAAAATCACCGACATACATTTCAGATGTGTGAATTAGCAATGTGCATCTTCGACAAGTCAGAACACAAACAATGCCACGTTTGGCAAAACCACCAAATGTAAGCAACAAAAGCTAGACCACAGTACTAGTTTTAAAAATTGACTCCAAAAAGCTTAAAGAATTTATACTAAACATTATAGGGTGAAAATGCTGTGTTCGACAGCTTAATTTCGGTACGAAATGATTATTAACACCAACTTTGCCAGTGCGGCTTTGTTGTGATGCCAAGGGTACGAGCTAACTTGATGCTAACCCAAGCTAACGTTACAACAGTTGCGAGCTAAAATCCACTGACAGACCAAGTTATGTTAAAAATTATTTTTAACAGTTTCGAACAAAATAAAGGGCGAACCATCGGGGTATTGTCCCGTGAGTCGCTTCTTCCACAAACATATCGCTGTCACAGTTGATTAGTTAGCTTGTAAGAAGTTAACTAGCATCGTTAAAACTTTAAGCGTAGCAACGTGGCTTTAACAATCCAGCTAACAAGCTAATGTAAGATCGTGTTCCTGTTGAAGCGTGTGGCTCCCTTTAAAAGTGTTGACATAGAAGCAATGCAAGTGCAAAAATCAACACCGCTCTTCTCAGTTCGCACCTGTTACTTCGAAACTTTTATTCAACCCGACCAAACTAAGTTGGCAAGAAATGTTAGCTTAGCCATTAACGATTACTGTTAATCGATACGCTTGAGAAATTACTGTTTACCCAGTCGGAGAGCGATGCTACCTTCACTTTGCTATATCCACCCAAGTCTTCCCCGTTCTGTCGTTGCTTTGCGTTATATCACCAGTTTAATCAAGTTTGGTAAATACTCGTTGTTTCGTGAAATCCACTCTTTTGTCTCTCTTTTCTCAGATATTCACAAATTCAACATGGCCGCGCTCGTTTTTGGCTGGTTGTTTTGCTCCAAAGGAAACTCTGACTGACCAATCACAGCTCTGCTTCAAATTCACAAACGTCACTGTGGATAAGAGATGACAAAAAAAATTATAGAACAAAACTGAATCTGTTGGACACATTTTATATAAAATATTCAACAACTTTTGTCAGAGAAAACAACAAAACACGCGTACAGGACACAAATGCACACAAAACAGATTTAAAAGGTAAAGTGGTTCTAGATAATAATTAAATAAAGCATAAAGGTGGGATTTGAATGTGCATAATTGAGCATGTCAAGTTAACACTGTTAAGCCTTAAAAATAAGCAGACTGGATACATATTTTAAAAGACTCAAAATGTACAAAAGATGGAGCTTGAATCACTGCAGCAGCTTGTGGGTGACCAGTTTGCATCCCAGTCACAAGGGGAGTGCCCAGTGCACAGAATTGGATAAGCAGGCACTTTATCCATGTATCAAAGCCCAAGGATCGCCAAACTGTGATGGTCTTTTGTCATGAAGCCACGAGAAGAGGGTCAGTTTGTAGGAGAATCTAATTTCAGGTTCAGTCTATTAGCTGTTCTGTCCCCCCACTGGTGAGACTTTCTTCTGGGTGTCATTGGGCACTGAAGTTTGATTGTTCTCTTTGTTGTTGTTGGCTGTGTAGAGGTAGTTGCAAGTTGCACTGGGCAATATATTTAGAAGCAGTACGATGAGAAATACAGGCATAGATAGAGTCTTTGGAGAATGGGAGGTGCCGTGATGAGGGTGTGTGGTGTAGTCGAAGGTGAACATCCACGACTCTGGCTGGGAGATGGGGAACTAAAACAAGGACAGGCAGAGAGTATAAATGTAATACTGTTGATTATTTTCACTGAGAGTCCGTGTGTGTGCAATTGTGTGCATGTCCTCACCAATTTTCCGTTAAGTTGCTTCCGTGTGGTAGACTGACACAATGTGTTGATCCCTGAACTCTTATGTGCTTGAGCCTCTCCCTCGTAACACATCTTGCTATCTGGAAAATATTTGCAGTCTGTTACAACTTTGTGTGTATGACCTCAGGTAGAATCACATAGTAATCTTGATTACAACACCAGATATAAAACACTGGCAGAAGAAAAACACGCCCACCGTTCAGTCTGGCCCCTAGAGAGAGGGATACACACACATTTACTTTCCCATTTGGCCATTTCTTCCTACCATCCTAAACAGAGCTGAGTCAAGTAGATTTTTGCAACTGTTGCATTTGTTGTTGACATAACTAAAGTAAGCAGATATGAGCGGGTTTTTCCATCATAAAGTTCAGTGAGTGTATTGAAAGTTTGGACATTCACATAGAAGTCATTCAGTCTCAGTCAATTGGTAAACTGTCAATGTCAAGATTTAGTGCTAATGTTCTTGACAACATATCCTGAATGGTCTTGGAGGAGAGGGAG